GTAGTTGTAGTAGTAGTAGTAGTAGTAGTAGTAGCAGCAGCAGTATCAGCAGCAGCAGCAGCAGGAGTAGTAGTAGTAGTAGTAGTAGTAGTAGTAGTAGTAGTAGTAACAATAGCAGCAGCAGTCGTCGGCGTCGTGTCATAAGCCTGACGCATTGAGGGGTAAAAGAAGGCGTTATTTGAGACCCATTTCGAGAATACAGCTCGGTTGCTGAAGAACTACTCTCTCGTGAAGGTTTGCCTTTCTTTGCATTCCTCGTTTGTCTGTCACTGCGTGCGTTAAATGACTTGTGGTCAAAAGCAGAAGTACGTCCACTAAGGATATCACCACCGATCCTTGAACCCGAAGAAGCTCATCGAGGTTGGATTCTCCCACCTTGGTGCGCGGATGACAATGGCCCGGACCATCAAGCTGTACAAGGCACCTTGCAGATCAGTCGATGCCATACTGCAACTGTTGGCATCCTGGCATTCTGCTTCTCAGATTTAGTTTTGCACCGGGCAGGTGCCAGAAAGCTGCCAGCTCTCCGGCATGCGAGAGATGAAGAAAGACGACGTGCCACGAGTCCATGGATTGGTGTCCAATTACTTGAAGTGCTTCAGCTGCAGATGGCGGGATCTCTCTCCTATACACAAAGGCATAATTGACAAACTAATCATCACCCAACTAGAACGCATTTGCATGGATGTGTGTGGGATTCCATAAAGACACGTGGGCCGGTTCCGGCCGATGCCCTCAGGCCAAGTGTACTACGGAACTCGGAATCCATGCCAACCTCGCAATCATGAATCCAGACAAGACCAAGCCCAACGCCGCACTTCGAGAACCTGTGCCAAGGAAGTTTCAACTTCACCCGGAGCTTTCACCGGCAGAGGTCGGGCGGTTGTTTCGGTGACTTCAGAGAGGCTTGCTGCGATGATCGTCCCTGTATGGGAGGGCTTACGGCTTCAAGTTCCCAAACCGTAAAGTCTAGAACTAGCCCCAAGCCCACACCCCAAACTGTCCCTCCACCGAGCTTTTCTTGCGCTGCGGTTTGATTTGAGTGCTCACCTTGGGCAGGTTGAGCATTGGATGCTGCCACGGCCAGGCGTCGTCTACTGTTACGTCCGTGGGGAGCTGAGCGCTTGGTTTGGGCTGTTGTCTTCTCATTTCGTTGCAGATGTTGGTTGTGTGCCAGAGTACAGAAAGCTTCAGTTGATATACCTCAATATGTAGATGCCTACGTATTTGCCTACCTACAAACAGTTCACAAACAACATCAGAAGCTTCACCGCAAAGTAGCGACTGTGGGCACTTCACCGACGGCCCTTGCCCTTCCCCCTTCGGGAATCCAGCCTGGAGCCTCGACGCAGAGCATGGATCGTCATGTTCGATCTCAAAGCGCACGATTTGTTGAGCAAGGGTCATCGTTGAGACCCTTCCGCGAAACTGGACGCATTAGACAAAGCGAAGGACGTCGTTTTGGAGCTCAAACCGTCCGTGAGAGTCTTGCCGCGAGAAAGCCGCGGCTCTAGTCCAAGTTTGGCAGGTTCATGAGCTTCATCGGTTGGGTGAGTCTGTCCAAGAGTGGTGTGGCACCGCGCCACCTCGCTAGCCAGACCTTTGGTGCTTGTCGCAATGTGAGCGCCCCGCCTCAGGTGAGAACGAGAAGGGCGAGGTCACCGATGTGTGCTCCTTCTACAACCTGCCATCATCCATTTTAGGCACCCAGCTGCGCTCCCGGAATGGGAAGTGTTTTTGAGGTTTAGGCGCAGTGGTGAACCAAGGCAGTTGCAGTACAGTAGAATGCCACAAAACTCCAGACTTGCATCTCATGTAGCCCTGAACGCCCTGCTCCTACTTGCATGCCTTGCGCCTCGTGCGACGCTCTGAAGTGCATTCTGTTGGAGAGCTTGGCAGCTTGCGGATGCAACGACAGAAGGGAGACGAAGGGCATTTATCATTGTAGTGGGCTGTTGTAACAACTGAATGTAGATCGTATTGGATCGTGGCATCAATCTTTGCAACACCTGTTTCCCTGTCTAGAGGCAAGGAGGGCCGCCAGAAGCCTGCTTGCCCGACACATGTGGCAGGCCATGAGAAGCACACCATCCTCAAGGCAGCTTATTCCTATTGGAACGTGGCGACCACCGTGCCCTTGCAGGAGTACCAGGGCACCTTTGATCACAGGGCGGATCCTGAAACGGAAATGGTTGCTGCCGCACTGAGTTCTTGCTTTGCTTCAACCAGCAGTGTTACCTGGTGTCCTGACGCCGTGGCCACAGCAACCTCAAAATCCGATGGCTGAAGGTCAAGGGAAGGGTTCTCGTCAGCTTCATAACGTTTGGCTGCTACTTCTCGCGTGAGGACTTGATGTATGATGCCCTCATCTTGGCCAAGCAGCAGGCGGCAATCTCAGCGTAATTAAGATAAAGAGCAGAAAGATGCTCAGGAAGCTGATGCCACTAACAATGATGTGGGCGACGGCTATAGTGTTGCTCGTTTTGGTGATGGGATTAAAGGCGGCGATCATGATCATCAAGCGGAGATTATGTTTAGACTGATTCTGCCGTGATGAGTAGTGCCCTGATAATATAGAAACGACGCAGACAATCATGATAACACTGATGATGGTGACGATGGGATGTTCGGTCGTTATTTGATGATGTTGATGATGCGGATGATGCCGACGGGGCGAAAATTCGCACATTATTCTGCAAAGCGAATCTACATCAGGGGTGAAGTCTTTTGGCATCTTCACTTTGTTCAGCTCTTCATGCAAGACCTTTCAAGAGCAGGCCACAGTCCCACGTTCCTCCAGTTGCCGCAACCTGCCGGCTCACATAATTGACACCAACACCGAAAGTTCCAGTTCCTGCAATGATTGGAAATTCGTGATTTCCTTTCTTTCTGTTGATGGGCGCTTGTGGGATCCGATTCGCCGCGCAAGTGCTCACTAGCAAGCACAATGACGTCAGATCGGACTGCTTGCGATTGCTGCTGCTGCTGCTGCTGCTTCTGACACTCCTATGACTACGAGCCTCGTGCACTCACGGTGGCTGTCGCCGAGGTCAAGAACAGGTGTAGCAATGCACATCCAAAAACCTTTCCTCTCTCCCAGAGAGGATGAGAGCATAAATAGGTTTAGGCTGACGGTTGTGGTGCAGCAAGTCCAGGACTTCGACGTGTTCAATGCGCTGGATGTCATGGAGAACGAAAGCTTTCTCAAGGATCCGGGGCCCTTCTTGGTGGAAAGGGTGCGGTATAACGCTTTTTGAGGTCCTTCAAGCTCTGAGATGTTCTAGCACAGGCTTCGTTGACTTGGGGTTCAATTTGTAGGGGTGCAAGCATGGTGGAGCACTCGGAAGACTCTGGCAGCAGTGGCTAGGACCGAAGCGGAGAGGGACCACGCCCAATTCCGAAGGGCCTTGAATTCCGTTTACAGTTCTAAGCCCTTAAAACTCCAAATGCTTCAAGTTGGGCATGCTCCTCACGACTAAGGTCCTCGAAGAGTCGAGCCATAACCACACTCAGAACCGAGTGCCTGCAGGACCTCAAGTTTGGCATCGGGGATGGCTATCTGTATCTTGTCCGCAGGTTCCAAGGCCATGGGACCAGGAAAGGCCGGTGACTCACCCAGCATCGCAGGTGGGCGCGAGGACCCGCACTATGACCACCATCTCCACCGACAGCTCGTGCAGTGTGCAGTACCAGAGTACTGTACTGTAGCTTAAAGCTCCTTCTGCAGCATGTGCGATGAGTACCCGTATCCAGGAGGGCCTAAGGGTTTGGGATTCCTGAGCCCTATCTGGAGGTAAAGGACCGAAGCAGGATTGCTTTTGAGCGCCTCGCGCGTGTGATGCCGAGGCAATATTACCTCTACAACTGGAAGTGCCCGAAAATTGAGCCGGGAAACATGGGCCTAGTGTTGCTCTAGCGCAGCTTGGTGAGAGGGCCGTCTCACCTACAGTTGATTCCATATGGATGACACCATTTTTCATGTCTTAGGGTTTAGGGGCAGAGAGGATTGAGTAAACGGGTGAGACTTTCAGAGCACTCTGCTCAGAAACGGCACTTCTTTTGTCTCAGCGTGTCTTCAGCCACGGCCCTTTGCCACATCCTCTGAATGGCTGAAGTGGCCATTTGACGCAAGGACGGCCGGACATGGCCGGGTTTTGTGTATAAGAAGTGCTGGCACCTCCCGGGTAGAAGCCTGTATGGCCGGGAGGCTGCTGCCAAGTGTGCACTGGACTCATGGAAGGCGTTGCAAAGGATCACCGAAGCCTGCTGCGACGAGCTGGAGTTCAGGTTGACAACCGGGAAACATCGGAGTGCAGCTGCCTGTAAAGGTGTTGACGTTTTGCCTGGCCTTTTGGTGCTTCTCAAGGCAAGGCGAAGCTCCACGACTGCATGGTGTGCGAACTGTCCTTGGAACAGGGTACAGCCAATTTATGGGCAATGCTCGCATCTCAACCTCAGCCAACCCACACGTACAGGCATTCTAGCCTGCAGCTTTAAAAGCTATGACCGCGAGCGAGAAGAGTGAGACCAAGGAGCGGGGACATCTGCCTTTGACACTACGTAGAAATTCTGGAGCCAAAGCTAATGGTTTCAGCGAGAACTTGCCAACAAGAAACAGAATCAAAACACAGCATCCTTACTGACAGTGGTTTGTCGGTATGTGTGAAGTCGCGTAGAAGGAAAATGCAATGTACAGGTGTTGTAATGTTTTGTAATGCGAGGTGTCAGGTTTGTCTGTCTGTCTGTCGGTCCGTCCGCCCGTCCGTCCGTCTGTCTGTCTGTCTGTCTGTCTATCCGTCTACTATTCGGTCTGCCTTCCTGCCTGCCTGCCTTCTGTCTGGCTGTATGTAGACTGATCCTGCATGTATGCATGCATGTGTTGATTTATGTATGTATGTATGTATGTATGTATGCATGTATGTATGTATGTATGTCTGTTGGCATGTCTGCATGTATGCATGTATGCATGTATGCATGCATGTATGCATGTATGCATGTAGGCATGTCGGCATGTAGGCATGTATGCACACATGCACGCATGCACGCATGTATGTATGTATGTATGTATGTATGTATGTATGTATGTATGTGTGTGTGTGTATATATATACATGTGTGTGTGTGTGTTTACAGGCGTATGCTTCATCTGTATCTCTTGTGCGCATCTGGAGGATCGAAGCTCGACCTTAATTGCCGATACAACCGGACATCGGAGCCTCTGCCCGTGCGGAAAAGACCATCATGTCCCTGCATCGCCCTAGGGCATAAATTGATGGTGCATGGAGTGCACACAGGAGCTGGAGGCTGAGGAGGAAGAGGAGGAAGAGGAAGTGGACCAGGAGGCCTTTCTGTGAAAACGGGATTTCGGGGCTGGGATTGGCGCTCGCGGACTTGAAGGGGACAAGGGCTTCTGCCTCTGAGCTCCAGGGGACGATGTGCTGCTTGGATCGGCGCGATTTCAGGAAGTGTCACGAGACGGGGGATGGAACCTGAGGCCTCGGTTTGCCAAGTGGATACGTGGCGTTGGAACGGGTGCAACGTCTTCGTTAGGAATCCTGCCAGGGGTCCTGATGCCAGGGCCTGCCTGCAGAACACAGAGCAAGGAGCTGTAGTGCTGCTTGAGCTATCTACTTTCGGGTATTGTGGGAGAGGCTTGAAGCCGTTTGTGAAAGCGAAGCGAACATACGCTGCAGTGTGGTAGCAACATATCGCAGGGCCGAGAGGCCGAGATTGAAAGTCTGGATGCCGCTGTTCACAGTCGCAGGCCAAGGATGAGAAGAAGACGATACTTGGCCAACTTCCTCGCAGTGTTTTGTGATCTCCTGCTCGGTCCGGTTCTTCCAAAGTGTTGAGGCCTCTTTTTAGGTACGGAGGTTTTGTGCGCATGCTTCCAGCAACAACTTCTCTAGGTCGATGTCCCGACCTGAAGCACATTCAAAGTATGTCGAGGCTCGAGAGAGCACCATGCCCTGGTGTCTCGTGGAAATCTTCGCGTGTTGTAGCTGGAGGGTCGTTTATCTAGCCCAGGAACCACTTCAATGCACCCTAATGCAAACAAAACCTGAACTCCATACGCTCAGCCTTAAATTCCGAAGCCCTGTCGCCCCAAAGAGCCAAGGAAAAAGGCTGGAAAGAAGGATGGATACCCATCGGCTGACGCCAACGACGGCGAGGAGCTTCTCTATATGCTCTTCTTTGGAAATGCAGAATATGAAGCATGTGCGTTTCGGCATCTTTCCAGCCGAGAACGAAATCACGTAGACTCATGGAGCCACAGAGCAAAGAGCAAAGAGCAGGCTATTCGTGCCGGTCTTACCAGCTTCATCCGCAGCATCCTCTTCTTCATTATCATCATTATCTCGTCGTGACTCTTCTTATCGTCCCCATCCACCGCCCTACTCATCATCATGACATCTCTAGGGTGTTTTATATATGTGGATGTACTGTACCTATAGTCTGAGATCGAAGCAGGAGGGTGAGACCCAGACCGACTCCCAGACACAGCTTTTGCAGATGCTCCGGAAGCGGGGCCCCTGCGAGGCCCGGTCCTCTTGGCTTCGGAGCTTTTGTGCTTTGGGTTCAGGGGTCCTTAGCAGCTTATCCCTCAGTATTACTACGATGATTACATTACTACATTATGATTATGAATATTATGTTGCTATTGCTGCGATTCTGACTGCTATCATGGCTAGTATTGCCATTGATATTCGTATGAGTATTCGTATTCGCACTAGGAGCAGTATCAGTATCACTATTGGTATTGGTATTAGCATTAGTGTTAGTCTTAGTGTTTGTGTTAGTATTTGGTATGGTGATGTCGGGTTTGGGTTGAAATGAGGGTTGGAATTGGGTTTGGGACAGGGTATAAGTTATACAATTATGTGGCCCGTTCCTGGGGCTGTTCGCCAGCCTCATTCTGATGATGGCAAAGTTCGCCCTTGTGGTGACTCAACGGGGGTGAAGGAATTTCGGTAAGACAACCGTGCCCCAAGAAAGAAAACCGAATGAGACCACCAAACCAGGCCGGCGGTGAACCACCCTGGCCTGAGACACTACTTTGAAATCGACGGAAGCTGCCGAAGCCCGAAGCATCTTCACATGCCTGATGAGGAGTCTCGGCGGCACACGGCACGAGAACATCCCTTCTGGGACACCCAACCGGTTCCCTCCATGAGCTCCGAGTGCCCTGAGCTTTAGTTTTCAGTGTTTCGGCCTTCTGTGAGAGCTTGTTGCGTGGAGCTTCGATCTCAAGGGAAGTGTTCGTTGGTCAAGAGAGTCCCGTAGCGTCTGGATGAAGGCAATACCAAGAGTGCCGTCAGTGGGTTGGCTTTCCCACAAGTCTTCGTTCACTCTCCAGTCAACCCGGATGGGCTAGTCATGTCATTGCATGAAAAATGTGGTTTGTATGGGCTCCAAACTTGCGAGCTGCATGAACTAAAGCTGAGAGGCAGCAGCATCTCGTGCAGGTATGACCAAGATGCCGGACCACTGGACGAGCTGAAGACTGTCGACGATGTACGCCCGGCTCCTGCACTCAAATTGGTCGGCCAGAGAATGCCCCAATCTTCCTAGTCTAAAAGCACTGGGGTTCGGAAACCCGCGTTTGCCTGTCACGGATCCTCCAGAAGTTGGAATGTTGAAAGAATGCCGGCTGCCTCATGCATAGGGCATCTTTGTTGACGCGAGTAAGTAAGAAGGACGTTCTGCAATAAGGATGATTGCTTCGCATGGCCATGCTAATTGATCACAATGGCTATATTGACAGCTCCCATCGGCGGTAGCAGGATGCCAGAATTGGCGCCCTGTATCTTTTCACAAGGTGGCCAGGTTGAGCGAGTACTACGACGACTGTGTGGTAATTTGCTGCCTGCTACCGAGGAGCCCTATCCATTGCCTGGGCAGTTTGAGTGGTGTACCTGCTGCTGGGCTCTGCAACAGTTGGCATGTGTGCGGTTTTGGGTTCTGGCTCGGACTGTGGCACCTGAAGTTTTGGTCGGATCTTTACGGGACGTGCCGTTCAAACCGCTAGGCCGCTAGGTCATGAAGTCGGCAGCCCTTCCCGATTTCGGTTCTGACTACAGGTTTTAGCCATGGCCAGAGAGCCACATGAAAGAAGCGCTGAGAAAAGACCTCAGCGGCTCAAATGCAACCCCTGCCCTACAGACGCACCAGGCAATGTGGATGATGATGCCGAGATGCAGGAGGTTTACACTCTCCTGACAGAGAATTACGTCGAAGATGACGCACTTTGTCTTGGTGAGAGGCTTCTTGAGTTTAGCCGTTGCCAAACGGCTTGCGTTTACACTTGCGGGCCCGAGGACAGCATGTTCCGCTTCGACTACTCCATTCACTTCTTGCGCTGGGCGCTGAAGCCTCCGGAATTTTTGAGGAGAGCACTCGTTCCAGCTGTTCCTTCCTGTCTTGCTTCTTTACTGGCACACTCTCTCCCTATCACACGCTCTCTCCCTCATTCTGTCTCTGTCCATATATGTATGTATATATGTATATATAGATTTAGGTGTACGTGTGTATATGCATATCTATATATATATATGTATATGTGTGTGTGTGTATATATATATACACACATACTCACCGTCAAGGGTCAATAAACAAAAAAGTATGTGATTACATACATAAAACGTATGTATGTATGTATGTATGT